AGACGGGCCGCCCCTGACTAGCACGCCGACGCACAGACACACGTGCAGATCCGCTGTGTGTGTGTGTGTGTGTGCGTGTGTGTGGAGGTGTGTCCGGGGCGATGTGCACAGGACACGCGCTACGGCCAGGGCTGAGGAGCGCTGACTGGACCTCCCGGATGCTATGCCTTGACCCGCCCCCAAGCCCTCCGCTGCCCGCTCCACATTTCCCGCCCACGGTCTAAGGACAGCACAGGTGACAGGCAGTGGCCACTCCTCCCTGACGCCGCACCCTGGGGCGTCACCCACCGAGCACTGTGACGGCCACCGGATGCGGAAGGGCATAGTGACCACACAGCCACGTAAACGGGGACCAACCAGCAGACTCGCGGCTCGTCTGAATGTCACGGAAACCGTGCTGGGTGTGAGGCGGCGGTCGGCCCACCGGAGGGCAAAGCCGCGGAGCTCACGGTGGGTGCTGCCCGCACGCTGCTGGCACAGGCGTCCGGTTTCTGTGTTCTGGAAGCATCGGCCGTGTTTGGCACGAGCTGAAACACGTGCACCTTTCGAGCCCACAGTGTCACTCCCGAGCTCCGTCTTGCAGAAGCGGGAGCAGCTCTGCACCAGGGCACGTGTGAGTGACGTGCGCAGTCCAAGGGCTGGTCAGACACACGCGTCGCACCCCACCGGACCCGTGCTGGGGGCTTGGAGGGTGTCCTCAATGTCCTGCGTGAGGGAAAGCCATGCGGGAGAAGTGTGCTCAGGACAACTCCGTTTTCGTGGTGAGATTGTGAAAATGCTGTCTCTGCATTTCCCTCCACTTGCTCGTCCACCATCAATGCGCTGTGGGGACCGGAGGTCTGGGGAGTGACAAGCCCTCTGCCGATGTCGTCATCTTCAGTTTGACCACGAGCGGCGTCCCTCGGAGCCTCTGGGACCACCCGGACAGCACGCCAGAGTTGGGCCCAGGCCAGCTGGCCGTTAGCGTTAGCGGCAGGTCGCCCACCAGGCCTGTCCCCTCCCCCACCGCACCTGGGGGGGCGTTGAGGGGCGTGCGCCCTGCATTCGGCCAGGGGCTCCTGCGGGAGGCCGACCCCAGGCAGCCATCTGGTGGTTTCCTCCAGGCCACAGTGGTTGCTGCAGGAGGCAGAGGGGCCTAACAGCCCTGAGCAGGGGGAGGGGCGGGGGCTCTGTGTCCTGGTCAGACTCAGGGTCAGGGTCAGACCGCGGCCTCCAAGGCCCCAGGAGTAAGCTGGGTGCCACACCAAGTGCCTGTCCCCGGGCCCTGGAGCGTTCCCGTGAGTGAGGAGCTGCCGCTCAGGAGCAAGGAGGACAGTGCCCGATGCTGGGGCAGGCGGGCACCCAGGTGGGCCTGACCCCGGGGCCAGAGGTGAGCACCAGGCGGCAGAGACGCACACATGGCAACGCCTCTGTCCTTTCCACAGCTGCATTGCCCTCGGGACACGGGGTCCTGAGCCAGCAGCCCCTCCAGAGTGGACCCTACACAGGGCGGAAGCCTCTGAAGGGTGTGACCCTCTGTGTGTGCTGCACACGTGTGCCTGTGTGTGCGGGTCAGCGCCTGTGCGTGCTGACAGCTGTCACTCGCTGAGCTCCCGGCAGGCCCGTTCTGACCTGGGCTGTGGGCTGGCCGGGCCGGGCAGCTTGAGGGCACAGACTGCCTGTGTGCCCCGTTCCCCTCCGGAGCTGACCCCAGGGCCCCACGCTGTCCAGGCCCAGGGAAGGGGTGGCCAGCCCTGGCGAGAAGCCCTCTCTGGGTAGAAAAGAAGCTCTGTCACATCCTCCAGGACCTATGCCCCTGCTTGGGGGCTGCCCAGGTGTTCTGCTTGGGAGAATAATGTTTGACTACACCAAGTTGGGAACAAAAATGTCCCAAAAACTCGAGTGAAAAAAAGGACATTTCCCCTCGCTCCCCGTGCTCGGTCTGACTAGGCTTCTGGCTGACAAATTTTCTCACAACCTCCTGGAGGGGACAATGGGACAACTGTGTCCTCCCAGCCCCCTCTCATGGTGACATCTGCACTTACAGCTCTGGGGACCACGGGGCTCCTGCTCCCTACTTCCCAAACCTCAGTCCTCAGGACGGGGCTGCGAAATGCAGGGCTGAGGTCGGAGCCCTGAGCGCGAGCCCACCAGCCGTGAGGCCTGGCCCATCGTGGGGTCCCCTCAGCTCCGTGGCCTCCCTCACAAAGTGCACAGACTGTCTCGAAGGTCACCGGGCACCCACCAGCGGTGCCTTTGCAGACAGGCTGGGCGTCCCAAGCACAGGTCATGGCGGGGTCAGTGGTCCCCATGGGGCCATGGCAGGAGTCAGCCTGAGCGCTGCCATCCCTCAGGCAGGGGCAGTGGCCCTGTCTAGCAGCAGGACAGCGATGACGGCGCTGCTCCAGGGCAAACGCCGGGTCCCTAGTCCTTAATAACTAGGTGAGAAGGGGCTTCTTGGGGCAGAGCTCTCCAAGGGCGTGATGGGGCTTTCCGGGAGGAACGTGCGTCCCTGCTCCTGGCTCAGCCCCGTGGGGACACTGGCCTCCATGTAGGGTGGGGCTGGCCGCATGCACATCTTCCTTATCGCATCGGGCCCCTTTTATCAATTCAGTGCACGCGCATCGGGAGCCAGTTCTCCCCAGAATGCATGTGCTTGCAGGCCCGTGGGAGCCGACGTCCGTCATGCCCGACCCCTCCTGGCCCGTGGGAGCCGACGTCCGTCACGCCCGACCCGTCCTGGCCCGTGGGAGCCGACGTCCGTCACACCTGACCCGTCCTGAGCGGAGCCAGCCGAGGGTCCACACAGTTAGGTGAGAGGAGCTAGCTGCAGAGGCGCCAATCAAATCGGATGGCGCAGGGCCCCCAGCGCCTGGCAGGGCTCCCAGTGACACTGTGCAGGGAAAACCCTCGGGCGGCTTGTGGATGGCGGCTCAGTGTTGCCAGACTCGACGGAAGTCAATCCTGCAGACCCGCTGACCACGCCACGGGCAGAACCATGGCACAGAACGGCACGTGGCGTCCGTGGACACCTGGTCTCCTGTCAAATGCCAGCCCAAGCGTCTCCGTAGTCACAAGGGCTCCCGGCAGGTGCTGCCCAGGTGACCTCCTCTCGCGGCCGTGGAGGCGCCTGCCCCTGGGAGCCTGGGCGGTTCTGGGGGCGGCGGCAGCACTGTGCCCCATCCGCATCAGTTTCCCAGCCGGGCTGCCGCTGGCCACTCCTGCTGGCGCCTCCAGCAGGCACTGGGACTCCGGTGGGCTCGGCGCTCACGCCCCACCTCCCAGCCTGGGGCCCGCTCACCCGCCTGCTTCTTGCCCATCCCGCTCTGAGCCCCTCCCCCTGGCCAGGACCTCCGGACCTTGTGCACCAGCTGTGGACTTCACCACGGAGAGCCATGGGGTCAGAGGTGAGAAAAGCGGAGCGGAGCGGGCTGGAGCTGGCGCTGGTGAAAGCGTCCCTCCACGCACGCGCACGCACGCAGGGACGCCCCTCCACGCACGCGCACGCAAGCAGGGACGCCCCTCCACGCACACGCACGCAGGAACGCCCATCCACGCAGACGCACGCACGCACGCCCCTCCACGCGCACGCACGCAGGGACGCCCCTCCACGCACGCGCACGCACGCAGGGACACCCCTCCACGCACACGCAGGGACGCCCCTCCACGCACACGCACGCAGGGACGCCCCTCCACGCACGCACACGCACGCAGGGACGCCCCTCCACGCATGCGCACGCACGCAGGGACGGCCTTACCCAGGAGGACGGCTGGTCCGGGCAGTGCAGCGTGCTCGAGCTGGAGTACAGCACCTCGTCCTTGACCAGCACCGAGATGGCCCGCAGGATGAAGGACAGGAACAGGTTCAGGTGGATGTAGTTCCGGGTGCAGTGCAGCTTCCTGGGGGGCGGGGGGCGGGGAGATGAGCAAACTGGTCTGTGAAGCCAGCGAGCTTGCCGAAGCAAGACGAACGAGCGGAATCAGTTCCTCCCAAGAAACAGAAATGGAAGAGCAGAAGCAAGTGCCTAGGGGCAGCCATCGAAAGGCGTGCGGGACCTCACTGGGAAAACCACAGGATGGTACAGAAAGAAATAGAGCGCCCAGCGGAGGGGCCCATGGGCATCAGCGCGGTCACCTCCCTGCCCCCTTCTTCCTCCGCGTGCTGCCGCCTGCGTCCACCCAGCAAGTCCGTTTGCCGAGTTCTTCGCTGTGCATGTCACTCATCGCTCTTTTCTAAACGTCCCCTCCAGTGTGGCTCTCCGGACGGGTGGCAGGGGAACGGAAAGGTGTGGCTGGCACGTGAGCCAGGCCAACCTGCCCCTCAGAGATGGCATCAGGGACCCTGCCAGCTCCCGAAGGAGGGCGTGGTGCCCGTGGCCCCGCAGCAGGCCCCGCACACCTGCTTGGCCACCGGGGCGTGGCATGTCCCTCCTTTGGCTGGCGGACCAGGCCACCAGAGTGCCCACCTGTGGGTGGCGCTGTGGCACTAGTTATGAACACACAGAGCGCGGGTGGCCTGCGTGGGCGTCACCACCTCACTCCTGGGCCTTGCGGGTTCACAGCTGCTTCGTCTAGTGCCTGGGCCATGGCGAGCACTCGGGGGTGGCAGCTGCTGGGGCCACCCGCGACTCCCACACAAAACCAGGCTGTGGGCCAGCTCGCCGAGTCCTCGTCACACTTTGGGGTAGAATGCCCCCTTCTGTATGTGCAGAGTGAGGACACAGTCACCTGCTACTTCTCGGCGCCTGGGCCATGATGGAGAGCCAGTGCTCGTGACAGCAGAACCCCCCCAGTGGTCGCCAGGACAATGGAGCAGGGTCTTCTCAGCTGCAAAGTTTAGAATCCAGTCACTGGCACAGCTGCCCAGGGGCTGGCGTTGGGCAAGCGAGCGCATATGACAGACGGAGCGGGAAAGGGACAGTGTCTTTGTCGTGTGCATAGCCGAGAAGGGTTCCCAGCCGTGGAGCTGTTCCTGGCCATCGTCACACACGGACTCAGCAGTGGGTTGGCGTCCTTTCTAACTAAGATGTGCCACCAGCAGGTGACTAACAACGACCATGTCCAGAGAGTTGTGTCGACACCCGTAACACCCTTTGAGGTTCTCTTAAAGGAGCACATCCACATTTTTGGTAATTCCAAGATGCTCTCAGGCTGGCTCATTAAATGTGCCACCAAGGACGAATCAGAGGATAAACCGCCAATGTCAAGAACGGGTTGTTCAGCTGTTTAAGAATAAGCTGAAAATTTCCTGGTTCAAGTTATGTCGGCCAGCTTACCTCCCTGGATGTTTTTTTTTTTTTTTTTATCTTTAACAACTTGAAAATTTAAAAATACATAGTAAAATATAGAAGATAGAACAACAAATACTAACATTGTATCAAGGCTTTTTAAAGGCCTGGAATCTGGCAGATATTCCTCACATTTTCAAAGCACGGTTCTGGGTTAAAGGTACTGACTTACTCTTCCTGAGAACGGTCAGCCACCTGCTACAGGTGACACGCCTGAAAAGTGAAAAGTGTAATTTAATTACATTTGCTGGATTTCTCAGCTGTATTCTTCACGAAGCTTTACTCATTTATTTTACTTTCAAAGACAGGTCCCTTCATGGGCTATTTGTTAGGTTCTAAAGATAGACATTGATTTTATCTGAATATTGGTCAACATTTGAATTATACTTTAGCAAAGAGAAATGAGATGTGTGGTGATCAAAACCCTGTTAAAATAAGCCAAACATCACCCATTTTATTTAGTGCTAGTGATGCCTAAGACATGGATTTCACCCTAAATGCGCTCGTTAGCTTTTCCAAGACAGAATCGTGTATTCTGGGCCTGAAGCCTCTACGCTCCGACCGCGCCCAGCCGGCTGTGCCACGTATGTTGTTAGTTGCCAACGGCGGCTGGGTCAGGTCCCAGGTGGGGGTGGGACTCTAACCTCGATGCCGGGGAAAGACAGGCAAAGCCTAGCGTGCCTTCCGCATGCCGTGCTTTGAAAATGTGGGGTACGTCTTCCACTAGCACTGCACGTTAAGGAATTTGTCCAAAGTCACACAGCTACGGAGAAGCCACCCCGGGCTGAGCCCAGGCAGTCTGCCTGGTGCCTCGTGCTGGGGATCACATTGCTGTGTCTTGCGGTCGAGCGTGGACGGCCCACGGGGGTGCTTCTGAGTGGCAAGTGCAACACTATGTGGCTTCTGCATTTTCCAAGCACCTGCGAAGTGGCCGTATTTGGTAAGTCGACGGAATGCTCAGCGAGGCCAGGACCACCGCCGCACGTGAGGGACGCAGGGCGTTCCAGTAACAGCGTCGGCACTGGCGACTCGTTGACGCGGCGTCTTGGGTGCTGTGTC